TCATGTTTGCATAGTAAGCTAACGATTGATAAGACGATGTCAGAAGAATTGGTGCGCAAATTATCGTCACTCACCAATCAGTACCGTCGCTCTCAGTTCACAGTTCGCGCGATTGCAAAGTGAAAGCAAAAAACTAGCGGAAATTCAAACGCGATTTCAATATGTCACATATTGCCAATGACATAATTACCCAGCTACATTTCCACTGGATGGAATTACGGAGAAGGAGGACTACTTCCAAATTATTTAAGTTCACCTCAGATCAACAGCCAGACAATGGAAACCTGGACACCAATCCCACAAACAAAGGCTTTCCCAAAGCCTTAACCTCAACACTACTGAAAATGTTTTGCATATCCTTAAAAGCCAGGTTTGCGCCAGGAAACCAACCATCTTAAACAAACTCTACGAAAAATTTACCAAGCGAAATATCCAACCAGAATTATGCCAAAAGCTGATTAGAGAAAATCGAAATTAAATTCAAACTTGTGCACCTAATTCTTGTTTTTTAAATTCATTGAAGATGCTTACTGTACTAACATTCCACTGTGGAAAAAGAATAGTTCAAATAAATAACTAGAAGCCCAAATTACCATGACATTTACACCAATGCTGAGTGCATGTAAAGTTTTGTCCAGAACTGCAAACTTGCTCGAGGGCATTTTGTCATAATTTAGTCCCTAGCTGTTAATCTTCCCACAATAAATCATGTCCCATATTTGTCTACCTTTTTCATTTTTTATACTTCTTATTACATAAATACTTCTCTTTAAAACATCTCTTATGTGGCTCTTTTTGCAAACTCTGCTTTTCCACGAGTGTGAAATTATTTAGCATGTACTCAGCATGAGAACAAACTCAGCCAAGCAAAGGAGAAAAATGGAGTGATGAGGTTAAGAAGAGGCTAAACACGGTGCGAGGGCGGGCAGGCAGAGGAGGCGAAAGGAGGCTGGTGGTTGCTAGAGGTTTATTTTCCCTGTTCTAGAGAGCTGTGTGGCGTTTCTGCGATTCTCAGACATTTCCTGCCCTGGCCACTGAAAATAACCCACAGGAAAACAGCCTGACCTGCTGCACATCAATGCTCTATTCAAATTCAATGTCTGACTGCCTCAAAGGCTGACTTTCACATGCTCTTGAACACAAATCGCTCGTTTCACCTGTCCAACCTGTTGCACACTGGCGGTTCATGCAATGAAGCTGTGGCTCACCTGGTATTACAGGACAGTAATAAAAGCTCGGCCTACATCAATTTGCAGGTCCTTTTTTCCCACATGGACAAAGAAAAGCATGCCATTGTTCCTGGTATAAAGATGCTCTTCTTATCTCACACTATAAAACATCTTTTCTCTGCAGTATCACTTCAGAAAGATGATGAAAGAGAGGAAAAAAGAGCTAATAGAAAAAAAGAGGATTAAAAAAATTATTTTAATCAATAGAGATAAATACTTAGAACTTTCTGCTTTTCTATTGAATGTGATTGTGAACCTAATATTTCACAGTTAAACAAAAACTAATAAGAATTTTAGTCTGCGACCACCTACTTCTGCATGTGATGAGCTGCATGGCACTAACACGTTGACGCGTTAACGCACGGGGCGATCCACGTTAACTCGCTAATGGAGATTTGCCGTGTTAATGCGGTTAAATAAATTATGGCATTAAAGTCATTTTAACGAGATTAACACTGACAGCACTGATATTTTCCAATTAAATATTGATATCCCATCAATAATGTACATTTGATCTTATATAACCGTGTAACCATTTCTTGTACGGTTTTTGTACAATTACAATGAATTCATTTTCCAAACATGATAAGACTTGATAAAGTTTTTATAAAGCTGTAAATAGATTTATACATTTTTTAGGTTCAGGACCTAAAACACGTGGGCATGTCCTTGGGGAGGTCCTGAAAGTAGTTAACGCTTGAGCTAGTCTGAATGAAACTTTTCACAAGCATCATCACACACACAACGATTATTAGCATCTCTACGGTTTTAAAAAAAGATTGTATTAAATCCCAATTCTTATGATTTTCCTCTATGTTATGTTAATTTCACTATCCTAGTACGAATGAGATGTTATGTTCTCTGGTTGCATTTATTTCACATGTCATGTATGTAACTTCACCAAAATCTGTATCCACAACATGATTTTTGTACAAGTCACCGCTAAATACAGGATGAAGAATTAGGAGTAAAGAAATGTCACAGACATAAAGCATAACAGAGCTGCTGCATTTTATGGAAAATTCTGTTTTATTTAAAATGTTTTGTGGGTGTTGTTAATCATTCCTGTATTGAGTAAAAATACAAATAGATAGTTTTTTAAAATATACCGGTAAACAAAATACTGTGATGGCAGCAGTCTGAGTTTAAATGTGTCAAAGTGCTGCCGTCAGCCTGCAGGTAAATTTAAATTGAAAGCAAAGATATGAATCCAGGAGTACACAGTTTGTATTAGAATTGGAGACCTTACATTACTGACCAAAGAAATCAATACATGTACTGATTTCACTGGTTAATAATTAAATTAACCCTAACCCTATATCATTCTGTTGTTAATCATTTATAAACAACCACGTTTTTGTCATCTGAATAAATACAGCAAAGATACTAGGAATAACAAGATAAATTAGTAGCTTTTCTTCCTCCGTGCTTTAGGATCTTAACCAGCCCTCCTGAGGGCTAGAAGAGCTAAACTGCTGAGGATGAACCTACTTTAATCCTTCTAAAATAAATCCCCCAAATGACCAGAATCAGAAATAAACGGTTATGAGGCTCACTTGTTAGAGTGTGTACTGAGTCCGAGTCCTCTGCAGTGGCTTGGGTTTGATCCCTAAACTCCAGTGAACCAGGAAAATCTGACTCTTGAGATTTAAAATATCTTTTTAAAGAGCATGCAGACTGAGATTGGCAGCAGTGATTGGCTATCAACAAAATCAGTATACAAGAGATAAAAAGATAAACAGAAAAACAACTGTGTCACCACCCCGACTCCTTCTCCCTCCACCTTTCTGACTCTCTCTTAAACTGCTTCTATCAACTCAAATAGCTGAGAAGAAATTGATTAACAAAGCAGCGTACCTCTCATACTCATGTTCCTGACATCTGTGGTATGGATCCTGCACCTCGTAGATGTCTGCATCAGCTGCATCTGGGTCATGAGGCCAGCCCAGCCTGGCACTGTGAAACGGCAGATTCATGTATTCCGGGATTTCCTCATAGAGCGGGACGTTCTCATACTCCGCCAAGCCTTCTATGCCTTCTCCGCAAATATCAGCCTCCCCTACGCAGCTACTGGGCCTCTCCAGGCTCCTCTTGCCCCGGTTTGACTCGACGCTGGTGCAGTCCAGGGACTGCCCTCCCTTGGCAAGCAGCTTTGGCAGCATCTTCACTGACAGCCGGAGTTCCAGCAGCTTCCGGAAAGAGAGGCTCCTCTTTGGAGAGTTGGCCCGGGTTGCCAGGTCAGCTGCAGAGAAAGACTGCGCCCTCTGCTTGCTCCCCAGCACCGGGGCTCGACTCTTAGGCGGCACGCTGCTCCTGGTGGGGATCTGTCGGCTGAAGAAGGTCACGTAGGGTCGCGAGAAGCGCCAGCTTGTTTTCTCCTGAGGAGGAGCGGGCAGCTCCCTCATTGGGGTGTTAGCATGTGGAGGTGCAGGAGGGCAGATGGAGGGTGGAGGAGGTGTGGGCAGGCTGTGTCTCTGCGGTTTTCTTGGCGGTGCCCTCGGCGACTGTTCCTCCTCAGCGGAGAAGGCTTTCCTGTCGTTCGCCAGAGGAGGGTGACAGCTGAGTTTGATCTGTTTAGGGAGGCTATGACTGATGGGGTACCGCTCAAAGTCGCCGTACCCATCCTCCTCATCTTCCTCGGCCCGGCGCGCCTCACCCTCTTTACTGTGGCTGACAGAGTCGGGCTGTGAGAGTAGGTCTAAGGAGTGGGAGTTGTTTTTGTTAAGATTGGGGTTTATGCGAAATGACCTGTGGAGATGAGGTGACAGAGAGGTTTGCCGAGGAGGCGGGACAGGCGCGTCAGCCTCATCGTCTCCTAAACCTGAGTCTTTTGGGGGTGAACTGTCATCACACGCATCCGGTTTGAGCTCCTTGCTCTCTGTACTGAGAGACAGAGCAGCTAGTTTCCCCTCAGCTTCCTTCATCTCAGTTCTTTGTTTCTGCTCCTCCACAAACTGATCCTGAGCACCACCCTCCAGACCATCCTGCCTCACCAAGGCCGGCTTTTTAAGTTTACGAGGCTGAGGGACTGGGAGAGGCTTGCTAGGAGCAGCGGGGACCTGCAGATCAGGGTGTGACTGGGTAGGAGACACTCTGCTGACAGTGTTGCTGCTTTCAGAGTACTCTGTAGGCAATTCAAGAGGAGAGATGCTTGAGAAGACAATGATGCCACCTATGACATCACAGGCTGACTTCAAGTGTGTGTTTTGGGCCTCCGTCGATACTTTAGAGACATCGAGCTCAGCAGCAGGGCTTTCTTGATTTTTTAAAGTTACTTCCTGCTCCTTAGTCCTCTGTACCTCCTTGCTTACCGGTCCCCTATCAAGGTGTTTCTGTCTCTGAGGTTTACCCCTGGGCTTTTTGCTAATCTGCACACTTTCACCCTTATCTTCCTCTTGATTTTCTCCACCCTTTCGTGGCTTTGACCCCACGAACCCCTCTTTGGAAACGCCATTCTCTAACAGCTCTTTGTGTGAATGTCCCCCAGCCTCAGATGTGCTCCCATTTTCCAGGGGCTGACACTGTGCACAGTCCCGGAGCCCACAGGAGCAGGTGGGAATGATGTAATCCGATTCACGTCTGCTAGCCTCAGATAATATCCCGTTTTTGGAGTTGAGAAGATTGAGGCCATCATCAAAAGCCTCCTGCTGTTCCTGAGATGGGATAAGCAGTTCAGCAGGCTTGGGTGGCGGCGGGGGTGAAACCAGGGGAGAAGAGGCAACAGAGTATTTGGGGATGCATGGTTTGGGGGCAACAGCCGGTTTTGCCCTCTTCAGAGTGGAAGGGGAGGGCTGGGAGACCGCCAAAGGCTGACAAATGAGTCCCGGTTTGGGAGCGACGGGCGGGGGTGAAGGTTTGGTAGTGACAGGGAGTTTAGGTTTGGGAGCTAATGGAGGCTTCTTTACACCTGTGTGTTAGAAAGAGAGGGAGTGTCAGACACAAAAGCCATGCCTCCTCTAATGTAAGCACAGGCAAGCTCAGGTCACTGACAGGGCGAAGATAGGAAATGAGTAATTTTCAACTATTTTGCACCATCTTCCCCGTTATAACAAAGTATTTACTCATGAGTGTGAACTGACGTATCTAATGTTTGAAGGTGGCAGCAAATCTAGATTATTTGATTCAAACATGCTTAATTTCTGACATATTTGGTATGGCTGGACCAGATTTCTTTTCATAGTTTGCATTTTCTGATAATTCTGAAATCTTTTATTTATTTCTCTATCAGTTCAGTTTATATTTCTGATTGAAAATGTTCAGTGTTGTTGTTTAATGTTGTATCAGTTCACTATAATAACCTTGGCATTTACTGTATTATCTCTTCTTGGTCCAATTTGTCCTTAAATAAGTCACAGTTTATTCTTATTTGTCGATAGACCTGTGTACTCAAGAGCATTTCCTACTCTTCTTCATGACAGTTTGTTTTCCTGAAAAAAAAAATCCTTGTTTAGCATTCCTAATCCTATTAGGAAATAATCTGATTAAATAAAGGTTAAAATAGAAAAAAAAGTATATTCGTTAATTTAAAAAAAACCCTCTGGTTTAGGATTGTAGGCTATATTTTCCACTCTATTGGTTCAAACTGTTGGCTGGCCGACACCACGAGAAGTCGAGTCATCGAGCGGATGTTTCGGAAAAGGCCAACGATCGAAAACCGCTCTCCGGTTGCAGCTGAAAGCCTGACTCCAACCAAATTCCCTTCAAAAACATCGCAAAACATTAATTCACTGTGACTGCAACCAGTAATAACTACTAATAAATAGTGATTGAATTTTTTTCTGATCACCGAGAACCACCCTTCAATTCGGCGCACACTTCATGTTAGTAAGCGTACACTTTGTGAAGTGCTTCACCCAAACTTAAGAAAAGCCCCACGATGGATGGCGGTGTTGGTAAGAAGACTGTGGATACACAACTTTTAATTTTATTGTTTCTTTCTGTTTTATCTATGAGCCGAATCTATCAGCGTATGCAACAACAGCATGTAAAGTCATAAACTACACTCTGGAAGACACACAACCATATTTATTAAAGAAGCAACTTTAAATTCGCATGTTTTAAAACGGAATCTGGTGTTATGTTTAGTTCTATAAGGCAACGCCGGGCATATTTATTAAAACGTTTAAAAAGTATAACTCCCAAATAAAATGAAAAGACTTTCATCCAGAAACATGTTTGCTGCTTTTCGTGAAATGTTTGGGCTGCAGCTTAATATTAAGTCCGACATGTTTCAGGAACAGCAGGACAGATGTTTTGAGACAAAGGATTTAACCCCCTCCAGCTGCAACAGAGGTTTAGATAACAAAAAGAAACTGCTGTTTTTCACTGAGTTTTTACAAAGCACTCAAACTGAGGTCGGAACAGTTCACTTTTATGTCTTTTTGGAAGCTGTTATTAAGAAAAACTGTAATTAACTCTGGCTGGATAAAAATAGAGTGGTGCTACCGACAGCTACAGCGTGGAAATTGACCATTTCTTTCTGAAAAAGTATCACGAATAAAACTAAAAGACATTACATGTACTTTTATTGCCACAAAATACGCTTGCAAAGCAGATTTTTTTCAGCTCCCCCACGACACAAACCTGTGCTCATGACTCCCGACTTGCTCCTCTCTCCATGAGTAAATTTACTTTCAATGGAATTGCGAGGAAATCTGCGTTTTTTCCTCCTTCGACATTATTGTCAGCGTGAAATCCGCTCCGTGGGTGAAACATGCAGATACATCTCTGTGGTTCCTTATCTCGCCAGCGGATGCGCGGATAAAGTCTTAACGCCTGCTACTTTTCCCATTTTTCCAAGTTTTCAGCCACGGTGCTTTTCCTCCAACTGTGTAAATCTAAAATTGGACATAGCAAACAACAGATTTCCGGTCCTAGTTTACAAAATACATTACATTTCAAAGTAGACGTATAGAAAATTAAATTGTGAAGTAAAGCGTGTATGTTAGCACATTGTCTTCAAACATACGAGTCCATTAAAATATATCGCAATTACAGTTGTTTTACTTAAAATCTTAGCACTCTACAGTGTTAAAAACATGAAGCATTTTATTTTGAAGATAACTTCCGTTTTTTTGCGCGCTAATTTTCGAAAACGTCACTCTCCTGTGCCCCCCTTGCATTAACGGATGGGAAACCACACTACCGCTCGTGACCACCTGAGGCTCTCTAAAGCGTATCGAGCCGAACGTTCGTTTTCGGCGTTTGGAAGACACAGAGGCATTATGGAAGTTGTAGGCGAGCTTTAGCAACCGGCTAACAACTAACTTCTCAGCCGCTGCTCCTACCCTGATTACTGTTGCCTACAACTTCAGAATGCTAAACGGGCTGCGTGTTGATGGCGGAGAGCAATGACTGAGGAGTTTGATGAAGATGTGGTGTTTGAGGTACGTATTACCACCCCTGTTTGTTAGCAAAACTTGCAACCGATGCTTTGTCATACCGCTCGAGTTCTGTACTAAATATAGGAGCTACGAGCCCAGTTCATTAGCTAGCCGAGCTAGCTATCAGTCCTGCCGTTTGCCCCGTTGCCATGCACTGCCAGTCCTAAGCATTTCCACATATTTGGCTGGCTGCTTAACCGTGTTCCTGCCAAGGAGCTTTGGTGGTCATGAGAAGGGGCTGAGCCGGGCTAGTTGTGCGCATTGTTTGTTGGTGTTTCATCACTACTAAGAGGTGGGGTGGGGATGACCACGTCCAATGCGTCGGTTCTGAAAAATGACACACACACCTCTGCATCCAGGATGATGACAACATGAGCTGCGACTTCGTGTGACCATGCATGTGAGTGGCAGTTAATATTTGTTTAACCGTCTGTGCAGGCTGGTGCTATATGCGTTTTTATGTTGGCTTATCAGAGCTGCAGCAGAGGAGCAGCTGGGGAGAACTGGGTCAGACATCGTTTGGGCAAATTTTAGCAGGGGGATATTTTTCTGCTTTCTGCATGGCTGATTTGCTTCTGAGCTTTCTTAAAGCAGGCAGCAATACGTCTGTTTATACCTCTCTGACAGGAAAGGATTATAACATGACACCTTGTGCTTAGACTTGAGGAGAGAAGAACTAGGTGCCTGCTGACATCTGTTTGAGTGTGAGATGATTTCCAGATTCACATCCTCCCAGAGTAGAGAAGAAGGTGCATGGGAGAGAGGGTGGAGATTCAGCTGAGGGAAAGTCTCTGCCTTTCCCTCGTCTTTTTATTCACGGCAAGACAAACTGGGACAAAAATCGGGATGAGTGTCAGCTCACCCTGAATCCAGTTGATTAATCTAATCATCACATTTCCTCTCCTTCTCCCAGTCTTCATCCGTCCGGCTCTGTTTTATGCAATTTTCCCCCTCCTCCTTAACCGGTCTCTTTCTTTCTCTCTTTGCAGAATTCTCCTCTTTTCCAGTATCTGCAGGATCTAGGGCACACAGACTTTGAGGCATGTCCGACAGCATCACAGGAGGAGGAATATGGCGAGCAAGAGGGAGACCTCACCTCTCCCGGTGGAGACCCACAGAAAACCTCAGTGAGTTCCCCACATCCTCTCCCAGAAACGACACACTACCAACCACTTGATCTAAATCCAACCTCTAACACATTGCTCCCAAGTGACACACAAACCAGACAAAGACATGATCTTAAAATACAATAAAAGGCTTTGTAGATAGAACTTGTTATTAAAAAAACACTATCCATGAGTGACAAAGAACATAAAAGCAGTTATTCGTTCTTCAAAAAGGGTGGGGAAAAAACCACAGGGATCTTTGAAGCAATGTGTTTGTTAGCTGAAGAACATAATTAGTTTGTTTAAAATGTATAAAAAAACAGTTTTGCGTTATTCCTCTGTGGAAAAAATCTTACAAAGTCAGACTAAAATCCAATGTTAAGTTAGTTTTAAAATAGGATATTTGAGTTTAGGAATAATTCTTAATTTCTTTTTTGTGGATTATTTACCTGGTTGATTGGTCTATAAAATGTCTGAAAATGAAATAAATGCACAAATTAACAGTAGTCTGTGCTTTTGTAATCTCACTTCTGGCCATTTGTTAAACAAAAATTTGTTACACGGTTGAGTGAATGGAACACAGATTCAGCTTAAAATAAATTTATAAGCAAGAGACTGCTTGACATCCAGCTCCGACCTTACAGTCAGTTAATCTTTATTGCATAATCATGATCCATAGAAGGAAAATATATTACATAAAACACAAGAAATTACATATATGTTAAATATGTTACATAAATTAATAACAACAATAATATTTCTTGTTTGATTTTTGGATCATTTCATTTATTCATTGGTCTATAAAGTGTCTGAAAATAGTGAAAAATGAGAAAAAAGTTAAGATCTTTAAGGTATTAAAAGGTTAATTTTTTTTATTAGATATAAACTGTTCAGATGGTGGAACCTGTCCATTTATTTGCCTGTAATTACTGAAAAAAATAGCAATAGCAATAAGGTTTAACAATATCCTTATTAACATTAATAACAATGGAGCCGAAAAAGAAATACTGAGAAAAATCTGTTTGCCCCTTCAGAACATGTTACGAGCCAAACACTGCAGCGTGCTTTACGTGGATCAGTTTCTGACACCAGCTCTCTGTTAGAGCTCAGATAGGCTGCACATTAAGTTTTAGGTCATATAAAACATCTTCTTCATTGTCAAACAAGCCCTCATCAGGTTAGGTTGTTGCTCTAACCATGTTTTCTGCAGCCCTGAGCGGGCAGCATGTGTGCACGATTGCAGTCAGGCAGAAAGTAATTGATCTGGATATTGACTCCTCACACATATTGACACGCAGTCGTCCACAGACAGCGGTTGCGTGAGTTGTGTTGATATGTTTCACTTTGGACAGACATTGAGAGCAGTGCTTTCTGCACACTGATTCAGGTATATTTTTCTCTCCCTGCTGCTGCTCTGATTCTCAGAAGAGAACGCCTGAATACGATTACCAACATGCTGCTTTCTGCCTGACGTAATTCCTGCCTCTGTGAGCGTCCGTTTACAGCCTGCGTGTGTGTGCTGATGATCACATGTGTGCTACATGCTTTTTTTCCCCCCTGCAATTAAAAGATTTAAACTCCTGAATTTTCAATGGTACTTTCATCGTGCTAACCGTAAACGTCTGCGGTTTGAAGCGGCCTGTGATTCAGTCTGAGGATGGGAAGCTCAGGACAACATGACTCGGCCTCCCCTCCTCCTGAAATGGGAAATGGTGTTCAGGAACTTTCCGTATGTGTCATGCTTCCTCCCTGCTGTGCACTGTTGTTCTAAGGAGTCAAGGAGGATGAGGGACTCAGATCAGGCAGGAAAGCTTTTTGGTTGTTCCACCGTGATCCGTTTCCTGGAGTCCAGATAAAGCTGGAGCTGAAGCAAAAACGATTCAACCACATAGACAGATCTCATTACAGTAAAATCCTGACCCTAACACGGGGTAAACGCACAGCGTGTTTAAAGATTCTGAAAAATAAGCTGTTTGTTTATTCGGTTTTTGAGGTGGCATTATTCCCGAAGTTACACTACTGATGAATGAATAATGCTTCCCTCTCAGCTACTTCTTTACTGTGCTTCCTTACTTTAATTATAGGTCCAAATACAACCCCAGTTCTAAAAAAGTTGGGTGCTGTAAAATCTCATAAAGCCTTTTTTTATTCACAGTAGAACATAGATAGCACATCTAATGTTTAAACCTTGAAAATTGAACATTTTAGGAAAAATAAAGTAATTTAAAATTTTGATGACAGTGACATGTGTCAAAATGTTGAGATGGGGGCAACAAAAGGCTAGAAAAGGAAGTTGTACTAAAAAGAAACAGCTTGAGGAACATTTTGCAAATAATTCAGTTCATTGGCAACAGGTCAGTGACATGGCTGGGAATGAGAAAGAGCATCTGAGTAAGGCAGAGTTTCTTATTAAAGAAGTTCACCAAGTTCCAGTCTGTTTCATGGAAGGCCTTTCATATTTCAGCAAGACAATGCTGAGCCACATACTGCAGCTGTTACAACACTATGGCATCATAGTAGAAGCGTCACAGTGCTGAACTAGTCTGCCTGTAATCCAGATCTTCTGGAGCATCGTGAAGGGAAAAATACCCAGAAGAAGACCCAGGATTGTTGAGCAGCTAGAATCATCTATCAGACAAGAACAGGACAACATTCCTCTCCCAAAAATCCAGCAGCTGCTCTCTTTAGTTCCCAGATGTTTACAGACTGTTTTTAAAAGAAGAGGGAATGCTGCACAGTGGTAAACACAGCTCTGTCCCAACTTCTTAAAAACATTTTCTCAGTTTAAATGGTTGATCTATTTCTGTGTTTCCAGAGTTGTTATAATTTTGCATTTTCAAATGAGCTTTTCTTTCAGTTTCATTTTGAGGCTTGCTTTGAGTTTACCTTCAGTTAGATTGGTCATTTCAGCTTTGTTCTTATATTGTTGGAAATCTTTAGTTTTGGTTTTGCTTTTACTATATTCAGAATTTGTTTTGTGTTTTTAATCGCTGTTATATGGAGGTTGCTTGTCTGGAGAATATTTAAGAAGTTGCAAACGCAGCACGTTTGGAGGCAGCTAACTCACAGCCACGGAGACAGTCAACAGTGCATTTATGCTTCTGTGTTAAATCTGCACCACAGGTACATCGTAGCTGAAAACCCTGCACTGTAACCTGAGAACTACATGTTGCTGTTAATGCAGAAGCCATAGGTATTTCAGGTGTTCATTATACTTTCCACACCAGAGTGAACAGAGTTGTGGTCCACACTGGCAGCACACATGGTGATGGGTTAGACTCACTCTCTGATCAGTAATCAATACGACCTCAGCCTTTAGACTAATAAAACTTTGGATTTTTTTCTTTTCATCCCCAGAGAAAAAGGG